ACTCACCTCAGCCTCCCAAAGGCGCGGGATTACAGGCTGAGCCACCAAGCCCAGCTGTTTGTTTTTTGAGTTGGAGTCTCTCTGCCCCCCAGACTGGAGTGCAGTGGCCACTCCTGGCCACTGCAGCCTCGACCTACTGGGCTTCGGAGATCCTTTCACCTCAGCCTTCCAAGTAGCTGGAACTATGGGCACACACTACCACGCCTGTCTAGTTTTTTTGATTTATTGTAGAGATGAGGTCTCACCAAGTTGCCCAGGCGGGTCTCAAACCCACAGACTCAGGCAATCCACTCACCTCGACCTCCCAAAGCACTGGGACTACAGGCTGAGCCACCGAGCCCGGCCAAAATAGACCTATTAACCCCTCCTCAGACAATGCCTACTTCTGAGGCTCAGGGCCCCCCCCCCAATCATAAAATGAAAGCAGAAATCTGCCCTGCCCACCTCACTGGGATGCTGTGAGACTCACCTGCCCTGCACAATGCCTTATAGAGAACTAGCAGTGAGGTATCAGCTGCTGCCGATGGGAAGTAGATTCTCACAGAGGACCACAGAAGCATAATGCTCTTGGCCAGAGTCTCCCCGACTAACAGGCAGACGTGTCCCTGGCTCAAGCAGCCACCTGGAGATCACCTGGGTCCCAGCCTGGCTGTGGCACTGGTCAACTGTGCCTAACCTGAGAGGCAGCATTGAATACTGTTAGGAGAACAGATCTGGGGAGTGAGCCCAAGTTCTGGACCGCACTCTGTCACTCATTGCGGTGTGACTTTGGCAAGCCACTCCCCCCATGCTTCAGTTTCCCCTTTGAAATGTGGGCTCAGTAATAAGGTGTGCACACCTTCCGGGTCACAACTCCCCTGCAATTAGAGATAACCAGTTTCCTGACTCTTACGATAAGCATTTCTTTGCTTTTCCTCATAGTTTTGCTACTTATATATAGACCCCTAAACAGTACATTTGTTTGACCTGTGTTTGCTGGTCACTTGAGTGGAATCACACCGTATGTGCTCCTTTGTGTGAGTGTCATTCACTCACCATTATAGTTACAGGATTCACAGACACTGCAATTGTGACATTCCTTTTCCCAACTGTCTATTTTTCCACAGTATGAATATACCACAGTGTGTTTATCCATTCTTTGACATTTGAACATCCTTGTACTGATATCCCAGGGCACACACACATGACTTTCTGTAGGCCATGGTCCTAGGAGAGGAAGTGCTGAGTTGTCAATGAAGCAGATTTAAGAGATAATGCCAAAATGTTTTCCAGAGTGGTTGTGGCAGTTTATACATCAGCCACATAGAGGCTCCCATTTGCTCCACATCTTCACCCTTGGTACTGTCAGACTTCTCAATTTTTACCAATCTGGTGGGTGTGTAACAATGAGGTTTCCTTTTTATCTAAATTTCTTTCATTTTAAAGAATGGATTTAAGTGAAAGCATCAAGTTAATGAGCACAGATGGTATGTGGGACATGGCAAAAACCCAGAGGTTTTGGAAACTTGATCCTAACTGGTGTTTCTGTTTCAGCCGACTCCACGGGAACTCATTCCCTCTACACAACGTACCAGGACTACGAGATCATGTTCCATGTCTCCACCCTGCTCCCTTACACCCCCAACAACAGGCAGCAGGTCAGTGGTTTCAGCTGAGGCACAACTGGGCCCAAGGCATGCTCCCTCTCCATGACTGTTGGCTGGCTGTCCTCTTGCATTGGCTCTCCCAGTGGTGACCTGTGGTCAGACGGGGACCCTTGGCTTGGAGACCCTCTGTACCATGGTCACCTTACCTGGGGCTCAGAGATGAATCCAGGTGTGGTTTCATGTCTGTTTGGTACCAGTCTTGCTGTTTGTTGGCCATCCGGCTTGCCTCTAGCTACCCAGCTACCCTCATGAGTCTCTTGAGTCATTACTGGTCTTACGAAAAAGAAGGGTGGATCAGTCAACATTACTTTGACTGTCAGTGACAGAAACTCAAACCAAACTGGCAGAAGCAGAAAATGGGATTTATTGGGTTACATTACTGAGGTTCTGGGAGATGCTGACTTTAGGTATGACTGGATCCAGGAGCTCAAACAATATTAGCATTCCTGTCTGTTTCTCACCTCTGCTTTTCTTTGTGATGGGGTCATTCACAGGTCTTCCCTAGTACTAGCAGAGATGCTCCCTAGCAGCCCTGGGCTCATATCCCACCAGCTTAGCCCTCCAGGAAAAAGATAGCTGTTCCTTCCGGTTGTCCCAAAAATGTTTCAGGTCTGAATCTCGTGAGCCCATTTACATGCCAGTCCCTGGACCAGTCTCTGGGCCTGGGGTGGGAACGGAGTGGGCTGATTGGCTAAGCCTGAGGCAGTGCCTACCCCAGAAAGCATCAGTGGGGTCAGTTCAACTCAGAAATGGGGACGGAGGTCAGGGAAGTGCTTTCCCAAAGCATGTGGTTTTGGTTACCAGAAGAAGGAAGGGTACTAGGAGGAACGCACGGCCCATGGGGCAGCTGTTCCTGGGTTCTCATGTATGGGAACTCCACAGAGTGTTGGCAGTTTAGGAAGTATGTGAAATATGTGTCTATTTTTCCAGAAATTGATAAAGTACCTATTTACTGTAGATTTTGACCAGAAATGGTCAAATGTTAGCAATTCCATCAGGTTCACCCAGTAACATGCTATTAAGAGCATTTGTCTTAGAATCAAACCTGAGTTTGGTTCTTTGTTTGCCACTTCCTAGCTCAGTGATCTCAGCCAAGTGATTCGGCCTTTCTGGGCCATGAGTTCCTCCTGTGTGAAGTGGGCAGAATGCTAGTGCCAGTGACTCAGGCTCATTGAGAAAGGTCCATGCACTCATGAGTGAAACCAGAGCACGAGGCAGGGCCAGACACATAGGAGGGGTGCAGGAAGCAGTGCCTGTTCCTGAGAACTTGGGAGGCGTGATGGGAAAAAGCTTGGGTTGTGGAGTCAAAGAGATGTGGGTTAGAACCCTGTCTCTTTCCCTCCATCACTGTGTGACTTAGGGCAAGTCACTTAACTTCTCTGGGCCTAAGTTTTCTCATCTGTATAAATGAGTTAATGCTTCGTAGGGTTGTTTTGAAGGTTAAATGAGATTATGAATTTAAGATACAGATGTAAAATGTTTAATATAGAATCTGCCACAGTAAATAGGTACTTTATCAATTTTATGTAACGCTGTTTCAAATATACATAAAGAACTAACAGTATGACTGGTCACAGCATCTCACGCTGGTAAGCCCAGACCTTTGGGAGGCCGATATGGGAGAACTGCCTGAGCCCAGGAATTCGAAAGCAGCCTGGGCAACATAGCCAGGCCTCGTCGCTACAAAATTTGTTCGAAAAATTAGATGGGTGTGGTAGCATACGTCTGTAGTCCCAGCTACCTGGGAGTCTGAGCCCTTGAGGTCGAGGCTGTGGTGAGCCGTGATCGTGCCACTGCCCTCCAGCCTGGGCAACAGACTAAAGAAAAGAGCTCAGTAGTACGGGTTGAACTGCTGTGCTGTGTCTGGATTCTATATCGTGGGCCACCTCGTTTAGAGCGGCATGGGACTCTCATTTGTGGACCTCGTGTATCGGCGTGGTTTCCTTAACAGTTACACGAAGACTAAACTTGTAAATAAGAGCAATGTAATCTCAGCAAATAAGCCAAACGCCATGAGTACAGTATCACCTGCAGAGGTACCTGAGTCTTCCTTAGAACCTGAGAAGGGGAGAAAGGGTGAAGCTCCCACAGGGCAATGTAAAGTTGCAGCTGCCCTGACTTTCTCAACTCGGGGGTCCAGGGAAGGGGTGGTGGCCTATATCTGGCTCTCCCGCAGTCTCTGGCTTGTCCCTGCCATTGTCCACAAGTGTGGCTTTGAGTGAGTCAGAGGCCACAGCTCATACTCTCCCTCAAGAGATTCTATGTATTAAGCCCCTCCTGTGTACTAGGCACTGCTCTAGGTAGTGGGCAGTGAACAAAACCCCCGGCCTTGTGGAGCTGACACTTGAATGGGAAGAATCGAACAAGAAACAAAAAGAAGAGGGAAAAGCCATGTATGCCAAGTGTCGACAAGGGTCAAGTAATGGGGACAGAAAAGCAAAGAGAGGGCAGTGTTGGGGGTGGGGCAGATCTTGCTAAGACCAGCAAAGACCTGAGGAAGGAAGCCATGCCAGGATCTGGGGAAGAATGTTCCAGGCGGAGGGAACAGCCCTGGCAGAGGCCTTGAGAAGGGACTGTTTCTGGCAAGTTTTAGAGCCGCAGGAGGTCGTGTGTCTGAACAGAGCAGGCAAGGGGCTGTGGGGAATGTCAGATAGTCATGGGCCTCCTGGGCCGTGGTGAGGACTGTGTCCTTTGCCCCACGCAGGGGAGGGATGTGGTCTGACTCCGGTGTTCACAGGCTCCTCTGGCTGCGTGTGGAGGACAGACTGTAGGGTTGGAGTGGGAAGAGGAGACGGGGTGGTGCTGTTTCAGAGGCCCGCCTGTGACACTTTGCTCTCCCCCTTCTGTCGCCCATTTACCAGCTACTGAGGAAGAGGCACATCGGGAATGACATTGTGACGATCATCTTCCAGGAGCCCGGAGCACTGCCATTCACCCCCAAGAACATCCGCTCACACTTCCAGCATGTCTTCATCATTGTCCGAGTCCACAACCCCTGCACTGACAACGTCTGCTACAGGTACACCACGCTTCACCCCGCTCCACCCCGTACATTCACTGACGACCTCACAGAGCTGATTTCCAGCCTCAGGGGGTGTGCAGAGAGAGAGAGCAGACAGCTGTGCACGCAGGCTGCTCCACGCCTCTCGTTAGGCCCTCAGTAGGGAGCTCCACCTATTCCTACAACGTCTGAACGTGATTCGCAACCACAGAGGGACGCGGCTCCCAAGTTTTGATAAGGAAGCCATCAGGGATTTGTATTTGCTTGGAATCTTTTGTTGCAGTTGACCAAAAAAACCCCATCTCAATCTGGCTTAAGACAAAAAAGGCAATTGTGTATATTAGCCCTCAGAAATGACGAGTTTAGGCATGGCTGAATCTGCTCTGCTTTTCTGTACATTGCTTTTCTGGCCGCTCTGGGCTTAGGACCCTGCCAGCTGCAAATACGGCAAAAAGAGAGCTTTATTTCCCAGGAGTTGTGTCAGAAGCCCCAGCATCGAGGCTCATTGACCCAGTTGGAGTCATGTGCCCGTCCCAGAGCCAGAGTGACCAGCCAGGCCTGGGCACCTGTGACAAGGACTGAGAGGCACAGGAGTGACAACCCTAAGGAAAGTCAGACGACGAAGGCGGGGGCCCCCGTGGGGGTGGGCCCCACTCAGGAGGTAGCGCTTAGGGTTTCTAGTTCACAAATGGACAAGGTACACAGACCTCAAACCTGGTCTGGGTCTTCGTTCTGTATTCTTCCCAAGCAACAGTGCTCAGCGGGCTTTGGCTGGTCCCCAAAGGACAGATGGACAGTCCTCAGGGATGAGGTGGGAGGATAGAGCAGTAGTCCTTGAAAATCATTTGATCCATAACCCAGGTCCAGGCCAAGGTCAGCACTTGTCCCTGGAGACTGGAAAATGGACTAGGGTGTGTTATTTTCCGATTTTTGAAGATGGTTTGTAATCTAAAAGATACAAAAGGATATGGAGGTAAAAGACACTCCCCACACCTCTGGCCCCCAGTCATCTGTTGCCTTCATGGAGGCAACCATGTTAGCGGTCTCTTGTGTGCACTAAAGCTTTATACACAACCAAGCAAATATGTGTAAGTATTCTTCTTTTGCCTTTTAAACACAAATAGTAGCATTTACACACACTGCTCTGTATCCTATATTTTTTCACTCAACAGTTTTTGAGATCTTTCCTTACCAGTACATAAAGTGCTTTCTCTTTCTCTGACTGTTTTGTATTACAGCATATGGACACGTGGTAATCTTCCCCTCATCCTCCATGAATGGGCATTTGGGTTGCTCCTTGGTACCAGCAACAGATAACCTTATTTATACCCTCATTGCACCTGTATCCAAGTGTACAGCTGCAGAAGAAATTCCTAGAAGTAGAGGAATCTCACTGAATCAGAGAGCCTGTGCACATGCGTACTGGCAGTCCTGGTGGAATTGCTAGGATCTACCAGCTTCCTCTCAGCTGGGTGTGCAAGGGAAGAGAGAGCGTTCCAGTGTGCAGCACTGACTGTTGAAAGCCCCTGTGCTGTGGTGCCCGCTGGCCACTAGGAGTGGCATGCTGTATGGCAGACTCTCCTTACGGAGACATCCCCTCACTGAGCCCCCTGGCCCATTTGTTCCGGGATATACAGTGGCAGCTGCAGCATAACTGCACCTCAGGCTGTGTGGGGAGCCAAGGGCCCTCGGATGATGCCAGGGTCTAAGGTGTATTGTTCCTCAGCAGCTAAAGGTAGCCCTGGGGAGGTAACAGGTAGATGTTCACACAGACACTGGGAAAGGAGTCTGCCTTCTTGTAGTAATCAGGGTGTTGAGTTGGCTGAGGGGTACTTCTCCCCTTCCTCCCTACTCTGAACTCCTGCCTGGGTTCCCACAGGAGCCTGAAGCTGACCTCCCACGCTTCCAGGCCAGGGTGCATGGTCTCCAGGGTGATTTGTCTCTGATGCACAACTCTTTCTTTTTCACAGTTTAATTTAAAATATTTTTATTATGTAATATTTTAGACATTCTGAAAAGTACAGACAATCATGTAACAGACACCCATGTGCCCACCACTAGATTTAACAGATGTTAACAATTTGCCTTATTTCCTTCAGTTCTCCCTTCTCCCTTTATTTTTAAAGAAAGAAAATGTTAGAGAGACAACCAGAGCTGCCCCTCAGCCACCCCCTCTCTTCCCCATCCCTCTTTCCTCACAGGCATCTATTCTCTGGACAGACCTGACCCTGTCTCTCCCCTGCAGAGGGAACCTGGCCACCCCCCTCCATGAGACTTGACTCTCCACCCTGTCGACCTCCCTCCCCCCTCTGCAAATGTCTGTTTGTCCTTCAAGACTGAATTCAGTGCCTCTAACTCCCTCCGGTGGTTCCTTACCCCCTCCACATGCTGTTGCCAAACATGTTTCTGTCACAGCACATGCCACACCATCAAAACGACTTGATGATGTGACTCCATGTCACATTTACCTTCCAGTATCTTCCAAGGCCCAGAGCTTCATGCATAGCGGACCCTCAAGACATTGCTAGCTGGACATATGCCTGGCCCAACATTGGAGGCACTGAGAAAATAATTGTTGAATAAACAATTCTGAGTGTTCTAGAAGTGCTTATGGAACTCCGGCCATCAGATGCCCTGGTGGTCGCACCATCTCCTGGTTGTGTCACGAGTTGTCATCCTTTCTGTTTCAAGTGTCCTGTTTCTGAATGGGGCTCCAGCATCCTCCCTGCAGCCTGTGGGCTGTAAAAACCCAGACCTCCTACTGGGAAGTTCCAATTTTCCAAACAGCTTCAGCAGTTAGCAGTTTCATGATTCATAAAATCGTGGAGCATTCTACAGAAAAGCCAAAATCTGCCACTATAAGCAGCCATGTGCTAAATGAAGAAGTTGCAAAGCTCTTCATATCTGTGAAGCACAATCTGACCCCCCCACTAATTAAAGTTGAGGGACTGATGAGGTCATCTTATCCATCCCCCTGCCCCCATCATGCATGCAAGATTTCCCATAGAAGAAAATGTCCATTTTGTTTGGCATTCTTGGAAGACTGTCTACACTGGAAATGCCTTTTTCTGTTAAACCTGCACCTACTACACTGTTTGTTGGTAGAAATCTGTTTTTTCCGGGTCTGTCTGTTCAAGTTGCAATCATGACTTTAGTCATTATTTCGCACCTGGGCTGGTTCTGAGGAATCCGCTAAGCACAGGAGTTGCTGGGCCACATGACACTTCTGGGGCGGAAAGCGTCACTAGACAGCACACCCTGGAGACAGAGAGTGAGGAGCCTGGCCTGCTCAGCTGGGGTCATGCAGTCGCTCCCTCACTTGTCTCCTGCACATGTTCTGTTCTCCAGTCCATTGTTCATGAGGCAGCCACCGTGATCTTTGTAGACTGCCAGTCTGTTGTCACTGCCAGCAGCTGCATCCATCAGAAACCCAGCAAGAAGCAGATCTCCCTCAAGGATTGAACTGAAGGAAATGAGTGAACAGACTCCTGACAGCATGGGGAGGTGAAAGGAACCAGTGTGGGAAAGTGAGGCGCCCAGGAACTTGCAACATTGGGAGCCATTCTCCCCCATCCCCCCCGAACTTGATGGGGTCAGAGAGAGACAGGAGGAGAAGTTTCTGAAAGCTGGTCAAAGCTGTGACTGGGAAGAGGGGCACCCAACTGAGGCAGTAGCAATGAGGGACCAGGGACTACAGCCACTGACACTGTCACAGCCCCGCAGGGAGGGAGGAAAGAGAAAGAAATACTCCTATCTCTCTTCCCACTTTCCTATCTCCTGGCGCTTCTTACTGGCCAAATTCACCTGGAAGTCAAAGGACACAGGAACCCAGGTGACACAGCCCTGGGGATCTCCCTTCCTGAGCACCAAGCAGGGCAGAGAAGGGCAGAGGTTGGGTCTGAGGGGCAGACAGGGCATGACTTTACTACCAGATCAGATCATCAAATGGTTGCTTGCTGTGGTGATAAGGATGGAAAGTGCCAGCCCCCAAGGCCTGATGTGGCCTGGCCCCTGGCAACACAGGGACCCAGCCTTCCGCTCCTCACCCTCCCGGCTCTGGCCACCCTGGCCTCTGTTCATCCAGTGCTGCCCTTCCCTTGGTGGGCTGCTGTGTGTGCTGCACCCTCGGCCTGCAGCACTCGGCCCCGGCTCTCCTTGGCTCCTGCTCGGCCCTCGAGAGCCCAGCTTCATTGTCACTTCCTCAGAGGCCCTTCTGGATTCCCCTGTCCTCTTGTTCTGCCATGATATGCATGTTCCTTTTCTTTGCCTTTGTAAGTTGATTGGTGTGTATGTTTAGTACGTCTCGCCCCCTAGATTGGAAGTTCTGGGAAGGCAGAGATCACTTTAGCCCCGATACCCAAGAAGAGTGGGCATCCAGGAAGTGCTTATCAAACACATGGCTGAACGTTGCCTGTCCCCTTGGTCAAAATGGCTGGTGGTGAGGGTGGAGACAGAATCAACCACACGTGAGCAGGCCTTACATGGGTTTCAGTTCACGGAATGTTTTTAATCAATGCTCTTTATTTTATTTTATTTTTTGAGTTGGTGTCTCACTCCATCACCCAGGCTGGAGTGCAATGGCATGCTCATGGCCACCCCAGCATCAACCGACTGGGCTCAGGTGATCCTTCTGCCCAGCCTTCCAAGTAGCCAGAACTACAGGTGCGTGTACTACACACCTGGCTAACTTTTTTATTTTTATTATAGAGATGAGGTCTTGCCAGGTTGTCCAGGCTGTTCTTGATCCCCTCACCTTGGCCTCCCAAAGTACTGGGTTTACAGGCTTGGGCCTCCACGCCCAGCCAATAGTCTTTATTTTTTAAAATCATCCTAGCCGGGCTCGGTGGCTCAGCCTGTAATGCCGCGCCTTTGGGAGGCTGAGGTGAGTAGATTGCCTGAGCCCGCGGGTTCGAGACCCACCTGGGCAGCGAGACCTCATCTCTACAATAAATCAAAAAATCAGCTGGGCAATGTAGCGCATGCCTATAATTCCGGCTACTTGGAAGGCTGAGGCGGAAGGATCGCTGGAGCCCAGCAGGTCGAGGCTGCGGTGGCCGGAAGCGGCCACTGCACTCCAGTCTGGGTGACCGAGTGAGACTCCAACTCAAAAAAAATAAAATAAAATAAAAATAAAATAAAATCATCCTTCAATATGAAGAGAAACAGTGGGAACTCTCTTATAGCACCATGCTCACAAATTGAGGTTTTTTTTTTGTTTTGTTTTTTTTGAGTTGGAGTCTCACTCTGTTGCC